CTCTCCCTGGCTCAGTGAGCGGAGGGGGGGTCTAGTGGGTTAGAGCAGAGGGGGCTGGAAGCCAGGACTCCTGGGTTCTCTCCCTGGCTCAGTGAGCGGAGGGGGGGTCTAGTGGGTTAGAGCAGAGGGGGCTGGAAGCCAGGACTCCTGGGTTCTCTCCCTGGCTCAGTGAGTGGAGGGGGGGTCTAGTGGGTTAGAGCAGAGGGGGTTGGAAGCCAGGATTCCTGGGTTCTCTCCCCAGCTGGGGCCTTGAGGGCACTGGGAGGCTCTTGCAGCAGCAGAAGGAGACCCAGAGGCTGGTGTGAGGGAGCAGGAGGTCGTGGGGTCTCACCCCTGCCCCCTAGGGTGGGAAATGGGGCGGGGGGGGAGGGGACGCACACACTCACTTCCTGAGCTGCCGGTAGCCGTAGAGCGGGATGAAGTAGGAGAACAGGTAGGGGGCGACGCAGGTGGAGACGAGGAGGCAGATGATGGAGAGGAGGAGGCTCCGGGACACCTTCCGCAGCCAGGGGAGGCTCTGCGGGGCGAAGGGTAACTTAGCAAGTGTGTCCCGTTTCCCCCCCGGCCCGCCTGAGCCAGCCAGTCCCCACCCTGCAGCCAGAGGGGAACCGGCGCCCGCTAAAGGGGAAAGGCCGCCAGGCGCAGGACCAGGTGTGCCCACCAGGGGCGCTGTTCCCCCTCCCCACACCCCGACTCTCACCAGGGCCCGGCTCTCCACCGCCTGGAGGTAGCTGCGGAAGCGGCTCCAGGGCCCGAAGATGGCCGTGCCCACAAAGTAGATGTAGCCCATGAACTCCACGGGGGAGGGGACGGCCGGGAGCTCCCCGCGGTCCAGGTCGAAGCCCAGGGACACGGCCTTCATCGCCACAATCATCTGGGCCCCTGCCATGGAGAGAGAGACAGGCGGGGGTGGGGTACCCCGGGACTACAGGGGAGAGAACCCAGGAGTCCTGGCTCCCAGCTCCCCCTGCTCTAACCACTAGACCCCCCCTCCCACTCCCAGAGCTGGAGATAGAACCCAGGTGTCCTGGCTCCCCACCCCTCTGCCAGCCAGCCCACCAGCCAGCCCGCCTTGCCCTGGGGGTGGATGGGAGCCGGCGCCCCCTAGAGGGAAAGGCCCCGTGTTCAGTCCCAGTGGGGGCAGGTCAGAGTCTCACCTCTCATTTTATGCCAGGTCACGGTATCCACCATGTGCATCTCCCTGCCAGAGAGAAGGACGGAGACTGTTTCAGAGAGAGGAACTAATGGGGTGGGTGGGGGTCTCCCTGTGAGATCAGCTGATCTCCAGCTCCCCAGACAATGCCTGGCTCTCCTCCCCAGACATCGCTGCACCCCCCCTCCCCCAGAGCTGCCTCCCACCCAGTCTTCCAACTTCTCCTCCCACCTGCTAGACATGGCTGGGGTCCCTATGGGGGGCTGCGGGGTCTCACCTGGCTTCAGGGCCCCCTCCCTCCCATGGGTCCGGCCTTCCCATCTCCATGGATCATGCATCCCCTCCTCCCCCCGCCACGGACCCAACTCCACCCAGAAGGTCTTTGCAGACCAGAATCCCTCTGTGCCCCTTCCCAGGCCCAGCCTCCTCCCCCGACCCCGCCAGGCCTCACCCCATGAGGAGGTAGATGAGGATGGTGATGGAGAGGAAGACCCCACGGTGGGCCGAGTGCCGGCACAGGAAGAGAACCAGGTAGCACAGCAGGCTGAGCAACACCACCCAGACCATCTGCAGCTGGAAGAAGTGGTGGAGGGCGTAGAACCCCCCCACCACCGTGCTGAGGTGCTTCGCATAGCCGGGCAGAGCTGGGGGAGGGGGGACATGGAGTTGTGGTGGGGACCCTTCCATCCATCCCTCCCTCCAACCAGCCCTCTATGCGTCCAACCCTCCAACCAACCATCCATCCATCCCTCCAACCAGGCCCTCCATGCGTCCAACCCACCTTCCATCCATCCCTCCCTCCAACCAGCCCTCTGTGCGTCCAACCCTCCAACCAACCATCCATCCCTCCCTCCAACCAGCCCTCTATGCGTCCAACCCTCCAACCAACCATCCATCCCTCCCTC